CTGGGGAGGGTTAGGCGGGTAGCCAAGCAGGTTCAAGAATGGTTTAGGGGAGCAGGGAAAGGACACTGGTTTTGGAGTCTAAGGGGAGGATTTCCCCTTGCAAATGGAGTTTACATGATTTCAACTTCCAACCAGTGCAAAAGGAGGGAACACCCAAGCTTTCTTTACAAGTCTGTCAAGATGTGGGGCAGGAGGGTGGGGCTTGAAGGCTGTCAGCAGCTAAGCATCATAAATGGGCTCAGATTCTTTATTATACACCTCAGAGGGTTATCGTGAAGATTACATGAGATTATACACATACAGACTTTAGTTCAGTGGCCAGTGAACAGTAAATAATCAATGTTACCTTTTGAAATAAACATCATTCCTTAAAAAAATCACTTGATTTAAAAACTCACCAAAAAATGCAAGAAGCAACGTCTGCTTTTTCCTTGTTCTATTTGTTTATTCTAGATGCAATTTTTTTTAAACTTCAATGTAATCTTTACATGTGAAGAAACAGTTACCAGCAGTCCTCCAGCAATGGAAAGGCCGTGATCTCAGAATTCTGTTTTAAATTGATTGTCGCTTGGAACACTTTTTCCCATAGAAGCAATGTTATAAATAGAACGAAGCTCCCTGAGGAATGCTCCAATTCTTCCTCAACTGTAGTATAGCTAAAACGGTCCTTGATAGAGCAGGAAATTCTGACTCCTACAACACCTGGACCTCTCAGACCCCAACTTCTCCTGGTTCAAGGTGACCCCAAGTGAGACTAGACCCTAAGATTTTGGGACTCCTGGGTGAGAAAGAGCTCGCTGAATAGGAGCTGAATGGGGCATGGTGTGGCTGATGGGAGCCCATCCACAATTGTGACTGTACTTCTCATGAAAACCTCCAAGTCAGACCCTAAGGGGATTGCCTTGTCAGGCTTTAGGGCCGACCCACATCCCTGCGGTTGGAATGGGGCTTATAGTTTTGAATGGAAAGGATGCTTCGACTCTCAGCCACTGGAGGGAGGGGTCAATCCAAATGCAGGACCTGAGTACTCCAGGTAGACCTTTGCCTAAGGTGAGTGGAAAATATGGTCTTATTTTCTGGATCAACTCTGAATGCTTGAGATGTACTTGTCCAGGATAGGTCTTCCCGCTGGATGATTAACGGTCCTGTGTCCTATTTGCTTCTGTGGCCCCAGCACCCAGAACAGTGCAGATATTTAGGAATCCTCTGCCAGCTTAAAGACTAAATAAATGAAGTTTAGCATAGCAAACTCTAGGTGTAGAAGGTATGAGCAACAGTAAGAGCCCCTGGATAAAGTTGAAAATTTCTGAAAAGACTTGGTATTTAGGAGAACTGTTGGGGTATGGGCACTTTTGGCTGGAATCTCTCTCTGTATGTATACGTTTAACTTCTTTATGGAAACTGTTACACAAGAATGTATGTCTGTTTAACTGTAAGGTTTTTTGTTTGTTTTAGTAATCACCATCTGGCTGGAATTTTCAACCAAATTCATGTCAATTGAGCAGTACTATTTTTTAAAAAGTCGTTTTTGAGAGAATTTATAGCATACTTCACTGTTAATGTTCTCCTGACAACACACCACGAAATAAAAACATTTGATATTCCTTCTTTTAAAGCTATTTTTTACAACTAATTATTCATATAAACACGGCACCAAAATCTATTATTCCATTAAATGCCGCCATGTTGTTCAGCCTTCTGGTAACCAGCGCTCAGTGGGGAGGTGACTCGCCTACACATTAGTAGCCAGGTTGAAATGCAATATCCCAGACCTTTAGTTCTAACTCTACTCACTCCCAAGGGTTGTGCCCCCCAAAGTCAAGGTCTAAAGAATGACCCTGGGAAAAGTGAGATCCAGTGTAAGAACAGAAGCACACAAACTATTTCCTCATCCTCAGGTGGTGAAGTCTGAGAGAGCTGACACTTCCTGGCAGATGGTAAGCAATCATTAATTATTTTTAATTTTATTGTTTTTTTGTAGGTTTCATGCCCAGCATGGAACCCAATGCAGGGCTTGAACTTATAATTCTAAAATGAAGACCGGAGCAGAGAGCCAGATCCTCAACCAACTGAGCCACCCAGGTGCCCCAATTGATATTGTTAAATCATTAAGTAGCTATTATTAATATTCCCTCTGGAGCCAGATTACAGGGATTTTTGTCTGTTTGCTGCAAAATCACAAGTGTCTCTTGGACATAATTGGGACTTAGTGCTGTTGACTAGTAGTTCATATAGCTCATATATAATTTATGGACTCCCGGACTATCCTTACCTCATTTTCTTCCCTTGATCCTGTGTAAGTTCAGTTCTGCCCAACTCCTGACCCCTGACGGCCAAACTTCCACACTTACCCGGATTTCCTCGGATTGACCAAGATACTGTACAGGGAGTGTCAGCTTCCGGCTCTTTCCTGCCCTTTCACCTTTTTAATACACTCTACCACCAGCCTCACTGATACTTTCAAATATTTATCACCTATGAGGTAGGCAGTATTCCAGGCCTGGAGACACAAGGGTGAGGAAGAAAGGCAGGCTCCCTTTCCTTTGTGGGACTAGGCTAAACTCACCATGGTATCTTTTCTCTTATTTTATTGAGACCCAGAGTTGAGAAGAGACAGAATGAGCTTCATCCAGTGAAGGGGTTGCAGAGCCATGAAGGGTTAAAACCATGGCTAAACTGAGTACATGCTCAGCCCTGACCTCTTTGCAACACCCTTGTCAAAGCAAGGGGACCCCCCAGCCTCATCCCCATCACTAACATATAGACACACTCTCTGCTTGCCTTCCAGTGTGTCCTCCCTTTCACATCCCAGGGCCTAGCTGTGAGCTGTCTAGGCGAGCATCATGACCACCATTTTCCACGGGAATCCTCTTCTGTGTCAGATCCTTCATCTTGACCTGCTAAAATAACAATCACAATGTTCTTATTCTTTATTCTGAGTCAAGCCCTGGGCTCTAGAACACTGTGGTTGCCCTAGAGAATGGAGTCAGGATGGCAAAGTTGTCCTCCTTTAGTCCAGTAGAGGATTGTATTTATTTTCTTCGGCATGCAAAGGGAAGAAGGAAAAAGGAGCTAATGCTCATTCTGTGTTTACTTATGTCTACAGTCAGCATGTGGCAGAAGTATTTTTAGACAGATGTAATGTGTAAAATGCAAACTGACCTTACAGTATGCATCAGAATCACCTGAAAGGCTTGTTAAAACACAAGCTGGACCTTGTGTGGGACCTCGCTGGGACCTCTCCCCTGAGTTCCAGAATCAGTAGTTCTGGGGTGGGCCCTGACAGTGTCTTCCTGGAGAATGCTGACTATGCTGGTCAGGAGACCATGCTGTCCTACATAATTCTACTGTTGCCAATTATTCCCTAAGAGCAATACTAAGCTGTCTCTGTATACTGGTCTTTTTGGTATGCTTGTAACCTTAAGTATCATGGAGTATGCTCCTTTACTTTCTATGCTGAAGACCTAATAGTTGCTTTGACTATCAAATATTCTTGAGAGCCCAGGTGAAGCTTCATTTCAGTCTCCTGCGACCAACACCCCACACCAGCCATTAACCTCCAAAATCACATGGTGGCTTGTTGGAAGTTAATTCCTCCTGAAACTCCACGATAACACCAAAATCAGTCCCCATGAGCTCTTTTAAAAGGTTCACCTCTACACATAGATTCCACTTTGTATTTCCAGATGTTTGGGTGTTTCAGAAGACACCAAAGCTTTACCACATCATAATTATGCCCCACGAGAGTAAGATATGTCCTCTACAAGTCCCTGGACTTTTCGTAATAAGCTTTGTACTTGGTAAAGGCTCCAACATTTGACTGCCGCTCTCTGTGTCCTGTGGGTGTGTGGAGGAGGAGACAGCAGGGTTTGCGTGATAAAAATAAAGTACTTCAAAGGCTGTAAGCTCCTTATAGTAATAAACACAATTTGAATATTAAAGAGGTGAAATTGCATGCTAATCACCATAGACTACAGTAAAATTTCCCCCAAACTCTGCGATTTTACAGAACAGTGGGAAACTAGGCACAGCTTTTACCAATAAATGTGTATTTCAAAGTTAGATGCCCCTGGTTGTCATGACTTGCCCAGCGCGCCTTTCCTCCAGAGACCCACAGGAAGCAAATGGCAATCTGCTCTAAATGTCATGCAGATGCATCACAAAGACACCGTCTAGATGTTCAGAAAGGTTATGTAAGGTCATGCCCTCATGTTATTTGTTATAACCAAGTACCACCTCATTATTAGGTATTTCTATTTTTAACTTGATGCAAGTTTTTGTTGTTTTTGTTTTAAGTGGCCTCCAAGCCCAGTGTGGAGCCCAATGTGGGGCTTGAACTCAAGACTCTGAGATCAAGACCAGAGCTGAGATCAAGAGCCAGACGCTTAACCGACGGAGCTACCCAAGCACACCGATGCAGTTTTTTTAACTTGAGTTTATTTCGAAAGGAAACCATGTCTCTAACTGTAAATGGGAAATCAGTATCCCTTGCCATAAATAGGAGGTAACTCTGAAAATGTATACAACACATGCAAAACAATGTCATTAACTTCTAGCTTGATTCTCTTGCCTGCCAAAGTCAAAGATTTGCTCTCTCTTTGTTAAGAGGAAGTGGGGAGGAAAGAGAAGGTGTTACAAAAGTGTTAAAAAATACGTCAAAACCAAAATATAAAGACAAAACAAAGAAGAAAAAATAAAACTTAAAATAAGCATTAATACCACAATGAAACCTTCTCTTCAACATAATCCTGATGAATGAAAGACTTTTAAACATAATTTTCTTATTAAATGTAATTTTCTTATGATGCGCTCTGGATTCCAAACCCCATTTTGTCCCTGGGTCATCCAAGCGCCCTGAGCCTCAGTTTTGTAGCTCAAAATGAGACAAGCCTCGGAGATTTAGACATAACATACAGGAAGCCCAGCACACAGTAGGTACTCAAATCATTATGGTCAACGGCCGCTTCTTGGGAGCAGAGAAAAGTCATGTCTTAACATACCTTAGTTCTGTGCTGGATGTAAGCACACACACAGGCTCTCTCTCGTGTTCTTGCTTCAGCCGAGGCGGGGCAGGCTGGGGGTGAGGTGACAAATCACATTCAGCCATGACAGGTGATGGCTGGAGGGCTGAGGATATGAGGAATCTGCTCATCCACTGGGGGGTCCTAAGTAGGGGGTAAGGAGAGAAGGAAACTTCAAATCCGAATATCTGAAAACTGTAGGAAAGTAAGAGAGATCACAGGATCCATTCCCCCCCTCAGGTCACAGGTCAGGACTCTGAGCCTCAGGGTGGTAGGAACCTGCCCAAGGCCCATAAGCAGTGACGGGCAGCCAGACCCAGGCCCCTCCGGCCACACTGTGCTCCTCCCACCCAGTGCCCTCAGTCTCCTCCTGAACCAGCCACTCCAGGGCCCTCATAGTTGCAAGACACTCAAGCCCTATAACCCTTAGTTCCCCACGCTGGGCTCCAGGATCTTAATTTCCAAAACAAGTATTGGCTTCAATGCGATCTACTAATTTGCTATAACAGTTGTAGCCTTTCTTAAAGGCCAGAAAAATGTGATCTTTTTTGCCAAACCCTGATTACATCAATTTCCCCCCCCCAAAAAAAATCCATACCAAAGAGAATAGTTCCACTTAGGGCTTTGCTCTGTCTCAAGAGAATCAAAATTCCCTTGATTCCCTAGAGACAGAACTTGCTGGGCTGCCTGGCGTGGAAAAAGGCCTGGCCTTCTCAGCCCCCTCCTCACAGGAGAATGAGGATGAGGGGAACGAAACAGGAGCCTGAGCGACAGGTTAAAACCCCAGGGCGGAGTGGTGCGTATAAGTTCCAGAAAAAAATCAGGAATGGGAAGGCCTCACACCTCTCTCATCTAGAGGGGCCGAGAGAGGGTGCCTGTGGCCTGGGCAGGGAGACGGAGGAGAAATTTAGTCCCAGGACAAACAACAGCAGGAGGTGGTACTGGAGACAATAAAAGTTTTCAACATTAAATCTCATGCTCATGCTCATTCTGGGATCCCTTCTCAAAAAAGGGTCTTGATCTTTGGGATGGGGGGTGGGCATGGAGAACGGTATTTTCATACAAGGGTAGCAGGCAAATAAATGTCCACCAGGACCTGGCTGGGAAGGTAAAGGAACGAGACACTGGCTAGTGGGGATCGGGCTCACTGAGGGCACCTGGCCCTTTTCAAAAAGGCGGTTGAGGTGCATCTCCTTGCTGGGTACTGTGCCTGACCATGGACAGCAAATTGCCAGATGTGCCCGTTATTAAGATCTTATCTACCCTTCCGCTTTCTGCAGAGTGGTGCTGGGCGGGTCTTCTTTGTCCGCCGCCTTCGTGTCAGGTTCTGCCAGTAGGGGGCACCAGAGGGCGCCGGGGATGGCAGGAGGAGGGCACAAGGGTCTCAAGGCCTCCAACTGGCTTGTTGGAACCACCAGCCTCACCACAACTGCCCCCTTCACCCCAGCAGCAACAGCTGGTGGTGGATCCCTGCTCTCCTCCCCCCTCCAGACTCAGCCTGGCTGCACCTGCAAAAGTACCAACAGCTGCTGGGGCTTGCTTTCTCAGGGGACCCCTGTTCCACAGACCCCCTTCTTCGAGCCTCTGGATTTTGATAACCCCCACTGGGTCCCTCCTTCCTCCAGCTCCAGGAGTGGGGGCTCCTTCCTGCACTTACTACCTACACATCCCTTTTTCTGTCAGCCTCACCAACAACTGTCTCATGAATCACCCTTATTAAATCCCCCCAACTTTGAGTCCCCCCCTAACTTTTGTGGGGAAGAACCAGGACGTGTGTCTGAAGACCAGATGGAGCCTTGTAGCAGACACAGGGGTAGCCCCTGAGGCAGAGCTGGGGCACCCCCCTGCAGCTGCTGGGAAAGCCACTTATGGGCAGCTCGCTGCAGCTCCCAGCCCCCAGGAGCCCCTCCACTGAAGCAATCTGCCTGATGTGGGAATAATCCCCTTCCTGAAGCCTGACCCCTGGCCTGTGTGTGGGACACCTCTGGAAGGCCATCCAGCTCCAGAGCTCCCTGCAGTCTTGGCTGAGACCTCTGGGTGGCAGCCCCCTTGTGGGTCAGCTTCTCCCCTGCCTGAGGACACCTTCTGCACTTCCTTCCAGGGTACTCCTTAGAAACCTGCTCTGTGCAGCTCTCCATCTCCGTGTCTGTTCCCAGGGACCCCGATGTAAATAAGCCAAGGCTGCTCTGGTTTGATATATAGAGCACGGCCCTCATTCAGGAAGCATGTGAAGACAGAGAAACACTTTATTTCACCAAAAAGCATTAGACTAGAACAAGGGAGGAGAGGAATGAGAGCCGAAGAGTAAGGACCAAGCAAAGAGAGGGAGAGTAAGTGGGAGAGTATGAAATATTAAGTGGAAATAAAGTAAATAGTACCCAGAAGCAAAGTGGTTATTAAGAGCAAAAGGACTTCCAGGGCACCTGGGTGGCTCAGTAGTTAAGCGTCTGCCTTCGGCTCAGGTCATGATCCCAGGGTCCTGGGATCGAGCCCCGCATCGGGCTCCTTGTTCAGGGGGAGCCTGCTTCTCCCTCTGCCTGCCACCCCCCCCACTCCCTCCCTCACTTGTGTGCGCTCGTTCTGACAAAATCTTTTTTTTTTTTTTAAAGATTTTATATATTTATTTGACAGAGAGAGAGATAGTGAGAGAGGGAACACAAGCAGGGGGAGTGGGAGAGGGAGAAGCAGGCTTCCCGCCGAGCAGGGAGCCCGATGCGGGGCTCGATCCCAGGACCCTGGGACCATGACCTGAGCCGAAGGCAGACGCCCAACGACTGAGCCACCCAGGCGCCCCTGACAAATAAAATCTTAAAAAAAAAAAAAGAGCAAGAAGACTTCCCTGGAGCTTGCCCCCACCCCTCTCACCCCCTCCAAGCACCACAGCAGGGATCATTCCCCGAAGCTGAGAGGACACAGCAGCCCCCTCAGGCCTTTCTGTCTCCCCAAAGCTTACATGGACAGAGCAAGGGAAACACAGCTGGGGACTTGATTTGACGACAACTTGAACTTGCTCCAGGAGCACAGGCCTCCCCACAGCCTCATGCAGGACCGAGGGCTGCACGGACCAGCAGCACAGTGACCTACGCTTCCCCCCGTGGAGCCCGGCTGGGGCCTCAAGTGTTGGGAGGTGCTGACTGAGTCTCAGCTCATGGTGTGGAGAGTGAAGGGCCTCCAGACTTCACCCCTTCCTGACACCCTGACAGGCTCGTTAGGAAAGAGAACTGGCCGTGTGCCTCCTCACCTGCACGGGCTGGAGTCCATAGTCCGGCTACTGCACTGGTTGGAGCACAAGGAGATGGGCCCTGTGGGAGGTCCGGCCTCGGTCGAGTCTGCAGGATGCAGTACGGGAACCGCCATGGCCTGTCCCAAAGCTTTTGGGCACGTGCAATTGCTTTTTTTTATTTATTTATTTAAAGTATGTCCCTTTCTTTTCCTGCTACCTCCCTTCTGCAGCTTGACCACGTCTGTCTGGTCAGCAGGTCAGTCAGCACAAGTCTGAATCACGTCCAAGGGGAGATGTAGGGAGGCAGGGGTCAACCACGCTGTAATATTTAACTAGATTACTTAAGAGCAACCGGAGGAAACTCATTTTCATTCTCAACTTCAAAGAAAGGCCAAGGTGATTAGGGTAGCATCCCCTGGGGACATCCTGAAGTACCCTGGGTTGGAGGGCATGACAAAGTAAGCAGAGCCTCGCTATCAGAAATCAGGGGCCTGACTTGTTAGCAGGCCTGGCACTGACAGGGGAGCAGAAGGGACAGAAAAAAGACAAATGGCAGCGTAAACGAGAGAGAATCACACTATTTCAGGTGTCACAAAGTCACATCTCTGAATGTGAGTTCTGAATAATACCCAGATAGGTCAACTTGAGAGTGAACCACTGTAGGAATCTGATTAGCCAGGGTCTTACTGTCAGATGCATGGCAAAAATCAGACTCTCTATGAATATGTATGCTTCTGTGAGACACAGGACCTTCGGCTGGGGCTGCCAGCCCTTATTTGGAATATTAAACAGGTCCAAACCTCCCAGAATATTTCAATTGGCAATCAGTTCTTTAAAAAAAAAAAACTGGAACATCACAAGCGGTCCTCATAATTAATCAAAGAAATGTCTTCTCGAACACCTCTTTTATCTATTTAAAAAAGAAACTATTGCCATATACCAGCTACTGGGTTTGGTGCTGTGGTTCCAGGGCAAAGAGAAAAAGCAGATGCGGGCCTTGCCTTGATGAAGCTTATAGTCTTAGGCAGAAAAAGACCTTAGAACCTGAGAACAGGTAAACAATTCCAGTTATGCTGCTCTTTATGCTGGAAGAACCTTATTCTTATCCAGGAGCCAAAGAAGGACCTCCTAAGGTGTTAACAGCCTTCTGAGACTTCAACAAATAAGGGAGGTTTGATGCATTAAGAGATGATGGAAGAGAGTTCCTGAAAGGAAAAGCATTTCCAGGGGCCCAAATACGAGGCAATACTGTACGTAGGAAAGGTTGAGGGCAGCCCTGGATGGGAAGCGGGAGGACCACGCAAGGGAGATGGCTCAGGGACCAGTTAGGGAGTTCCTAACACACCAGGTTATTGATTGGTAGCTTCACCCTTCAATTATCAGAGAAGTGACATGGTTAATAGGTCCCTCTGGCTCCAGCATCAGAACAGATTGGAAAGTGGAAAGGGCTAAGAGGCTATGGAAAGGTTGAGTTAGGTAGGGAGAGGACAGTGTTTTGGATCAAAACCCTAGCACTAATGGGGAAGCAGGAACCATACTTGAAAGATACCTTTTGAAAGAGACATAGGAGTGAAATAAACAAAATTTGGAGACAGAGTATTTTGGGTGTGAAGGGCCAAGAATGACTCCCAAGGTTCAGTTTGCCTGGGTGGGGGGGTGGATGGTAGTGCCCTTTCCTGATGCAAGAAGCAAGGAGGGGGAGGAGGTTTGGAGTGGGTGGTGGGTGACCATAGGGACTGTGGACTGCTGAGCTTTCTGAGAGCACATGTGGAATAGGCAGGGGAAGGTAAAAGTTTAGAACTGGTAAAGATACACAAACAGAAACAGAGGTAGAGAAATTTGAGAATCATAGCAATATATCAGAGCACAAGGACTTGTGGCTCTCAAACTTTCTGAAGAAGACCTACAATAAGAAATACATTTTCTATCACACAAACAAAAATTACCCTAATTCTTACCTCTGCCTCGTGTGATGTTCTGTGATACTCTGTTCTTTCTCCCAGTGCAGGTCAGAGGCTTCTGGGTTGATTTAATGACCTGACTGTGAGCTGCTACCCTACAGTTTGAAAATTCTCATTAGGAGAATGCCTGATGAGAACACAAGAGGATCCAAAAATAGAGCCTGGCCAGATTCTATTGTTCAAGGCTCAACTAGAGTAGGTGGTGTCTAGAAAAAAGAGAGGATCCAACAAAGAGGTAGGTGGAAGGGGCCAGGGAAATCCCCCGTTACACTTCTAAGATGAATACAGCAGTTCCTAGAATCCCGTCCTCAGCAGGTAACCTCCAGAGCCCGGGACAAATTTCCACCTTAGGTCGCTTTACCAGAGCAAGAAACATTTCCTCCTCTTCTCCCCCACCCCAGGCTTCCCTTTTATCTCGTTGACCAGGATGGTTCACATGACTCGCCCCAAGCCAATCACTGGCTTAGGGGGTACAATTACCATGATGGGCTGAGGCTGATTAACAAATTCACGCTCATCCCGTGAGGCTGCAGAGGGATTACGCTCCCTGAACACAGCGTGGGTAAACACCTGACCTTTAGGGCTCTACCAAGGAAGAAGCTAGGTGAAGCAGTTACCCAGACTGCTTGCTAGTTCAAGTGTGGTTCAGGAGGGACCAGCAACATTGGCATCACCTGGGAGCTTTTAGAGCTTCGGAATTGCAAGCCCCACCCCAGACCTGCTGAATCCGAATATCCATGTTCTCGAGATTCTCAGGTGACTCGCATGGACCGGCAGTTTGAGAAGCACCGGCTGAGACAGCAGTAGGACTCACAGTGTCTACCAGATTGCATCCTGTTGTCCTGCTGTCTGTTCATTCCTTTTACCACTTGTTCTTAGGCCACAAATCCCAGACACATGCTTTGCAAGGTTTTGCTTAATTGACCCAACAGATCCTCTTTTTATTTTCTGCATAAGGAAGCAGAGCAGTGTTTTAGGATAAACACAGCAAGCTCCCGGCTGTGACCAACTCAAGCCATCAATATTATTCCTTCAGGTCACCCTGTTCTGTTCCCATAAGGTGTAAAATCCTAGCCCAGGGCTGACAACGTCCCTTGGCTGCTGGAAAGTTCTATATTCTTGAACAGCCCTAGGCAGGATTGGTGCGTTCTGTTTGTTTTTTAAATTTTGTTTGTTTCCTACTATAGTTCCTTTTACTGAGTCTATAGGATTGTAGACTCGAGATGAGAACTCCTACCTACAAGCAGTGGGGGTAACCCTCTCCTCGAGGTCCCAGCAGATCTGAAGGGTTGGGGCAAGCTCTCATTTAGTGACTTTGTCCAGAATTGGAGGCTCTGAGATCCTGAGACACACAGAGGGCCTAGAAAAAATTGCAGAGAAAAGACAAATTTAGTTAAAGAATTGGAGCATTGAACCTAAAAGGAAATGTTAAAAGAATCGACGTACCTTAGGTGAAGAAAGGAAGACAGAGAAGGCATTAAGCATATAGAATTGGATGACACTTTACTGAGGCTTAAAACGAACAGCTCTCTTCAGGAATTTTCATTCTTTGTTTAAAAAAAATAGGTGTTGGGGCACCTGTGTGGTTCCGTAGGTTGAGCTTCCAACTCTTGATCTCAGCTCAGGTCTTGATCTCAGGGTCGTGAGTTCAAGCCCCACAATGGGCTCCACGCTGGGTGTGGAGCCTACTTAAAAAAAATTGGTGGGATACTCAGAATTTGACTGTCAAAGGATTAATGCATAAGGCCTTTCTCAAATTGCTTCCTCCTCATTCATTCCTCCAACTTTATTGATCACCTGTTACATACCAGGCGCTCTGCTCTGACAGTGTTATTATTTTACTCTAAGTGGCATGAGAACGTACCCTTCTAAGAATGGTGAATATGTCAAGATGGCAATTCATTTGAGACAACACCGATTCATCTCAGAGTCTCTGAGATAGTTCTGATTAAATATAGCAACCTCAGTATAAAGGCACCGTTTCCTTATGTGGCGCAGACACTTCCCCGATCTGCCTCCAAGTGGCTTTTTCTGTCCTTGATTTCACTGCTCATCTTACCCACCTGCCTCTCCTTTCCCACCACTATACCCATCTTTGCTTGAACATGCCAACCCCTTTCACGCAGTTCCCTTAGTTGGAATAGCTTTCTCCCTAAAATATCCTTCGATGTTTTGAAACCCTTCAAGCTTTTAAGGCTCATCTGTATTCTTCCCTGCAAAGGCTTCTTGCCACTTAAAATTAACAAGGGAATTAAATCAATTAAAAACGAACTCTTTCCTCTATATTCCTCTCACACAATGCTTCTACTAGTTTGGCACTTACTCTTCTTTGCAATAAGGTAGCTTTTTTTTCCTGTCTCAACAGTAAGCTTTCTAAGAGCAAAGACCATGTCTTATTCTTTGTGTTCCTCCCAGCACCTTGCTGCATACCTGTTGATACAGTTAGTGCTGCTCACCAACTATTTCTGACTATTAGAGTCTTCTGGGCCTAGTAGGTTTGCCCTTCTTGGACCCCTATTGTTGGTTAGAGACATGTAGTCCATTGTCACCACTGAGTTGTATGTAAAGCAGTGTGTGACCCCTTGGGCCAAAATTCTAATGACCAATGCAAGACCCTTCAGCGTTGTCTTTTCTCTTGGCCGTTGTGACTGTGCATGTTTTGGAGAAGAGCTCCTCCCTCTGCTGGGATAATGTCAACTTATAGCAGAGCCCCAGCTGACCCATGATGGACATGTTGAGTGAACAAGAAATAAATTTTCATTATTTAAACTCACTGACATCTACGGTTGTTTGCTATGAAGCAAAGCCTAGCCCATGCTGAGTGATACACTTATAAATGGTAGGTGATCAATAAATACCGCAAGTCTATAATTTTTTTAAAAATCCATTAGAAAGAGCAGTTCATAATTTTATCAATTGTAACCTAACCAAGTAAAATTGCCAGCCTTAACGTCAGTTGTCAAGAGAGGCATCAGTAAGGTAAGATGAAGATAGGATATAGATAGGATATCTAGGTAGGATAGATAGGATATAGATAGGATATAGATAGGATATGGAGCCAGCTAGCTGTCGGTTTGCAGACTGGCTCTAAATGACCTTGGCTGCTGGTCCTCCACAGAATCAGCCTCCTCCAATCCCAGTGGGAGCGTATATTTATCTTGCAATGTTGTTGTGAGAATTAAAGATAATAAATGAATGGTACCTGGCACATGGTGGAACTCAACACATTACAATTACAATTGTTTTAGATATGTTTTTCACATCCAGCAACGTGAAAAGTGAGAAATGTGAGAAACTATACATATTTCAATTTAAACCAAGTTATTCCCTTCCTATGGACCAGGGGCAAGATGTCCCTCCATCCTTCTTTCACTCGTCTTTCAAGAAATAAACAAATTTGGGCCCTTATTGATTTTTTTGGAAAAGTGTGGGAGGCTACTATATGTGTTGAGATAGTAATTTATAATTAAATCTCAGTTTCTCATTGAAAAATAGGACTGTTTTTAATGAATTATTCATTTTTCTAGTCTGTACTAGACACTGGTGACTCACATTAAATAGATATATTGAAAAAAAAAAAAAGAGAGAGAAATAAGACCCTGGATTTGTTTTTCAGTTTTTGTGGATAGAAAAGGGGACTCATCTGCTTGTGACAATCTCAGTTATATTTATAAAATTTGAAAAATTATCCTGGGTCGATGATAAATCTTTTCTGTGAACACAGTGTTGTCTTTTGCCTTTTTGTCTTGATTTCCAACACTCGCTCAAGTGTACTGAACTCTTCATCCCAATACACTTAAATAAAGGTTTCTAATACTCTGCATGTCACAATCCCCTGAGAACTTACAGTTACTGTCATGGCATTTTCACAACTTGATTACACTCCTGGCTGCGAACAGACATAACTTCAGTCCCTCAGTGTAAACAGAGAATGACTCATCCTTCTGGGACAGTAAATAGCAACTTGGAGAGATGCACATCATCTTTAGACTTGTTGACCTGTAATGTAGAAACACATCCCCTCCGAAATACTTTATACATATTTTGATACGTGCTGAAAGAAACACTGTATTCCAAAAATAGGTTCTTATTACTAGGGCTTTGATAAGAGGAAGGAAAAGCTGAACATCCATATTTCCCAACTAGGATCCACTTGTGCACTAGCACCAAAAAGTAGGACAGGGGGAAATCAAGTCAGAAGACAAGAATGCCTCTATTAGTCTTCTCTGCTTCCAAACTAACCTTCTTTCCTGTGTCTCACTTCATCTCCTATCCCAAGTCTCTGCTTTGGTTCTGACCTATTCAACTGAAAGACAAAAAAATCAGATTGAGTTAGGAGCACTAATAGAGCTACTACATGGTAGATATCTCAGTTAGTCTTTAGGATGACATTTTTCTCTGTCCTTAACGACCTTATTATTCAGTGCTGAAGAAATAAAGAAAATTAGTAATTATAGTCCAGCCTGATGAACTATGAAGGCTCATTCAAAACATGAAATCATGACGGGGTGCCTGGGTGGCTCAGTCGGTTAAGCACCCAACGCTTGATTTTGGCTCAGGTCATGATCTCAGGGTTGTGGGATCGAGCCCTGCGTCAGGCTCCACACTCAGCGTGGAGTGTGCTTGAGATTCTCTCTTCCTTCTTTCTCTGCCTCTCCCCCCACTCACACACACGTGCTCTCTCTCTAAATAAATCAAGTCTTTAAAAAACAAAACAAAAATGTGCAATCATGAAAAATAATGTTTCCAAGAACATATGTTGTTCTACTGAAAATAGTAAAATACAAAATTACATAGATAGCCTGATCCTAATTTTGTAAATAATATCCACTCACGTCCTTATACACTCAGAAAAACTTGGGATCAGATTGGCAGACTGAGCACACCTGTCTACTTTTCCTCCCTCCCTGAATTCCACTGGAATGCCAAACAAGAAAACTTACAATCGAAGATCAGAAAATTTGACAATTTCTTGGAAAACACAACAAAGAGAATTGAATGGACAAAGCAATAAAAGCTTTAAAAAAGTCATAAAAAGGATACTACAAAGGTAAGAGCTATTTGTACAATAACTAGAGGAACTTCAAGGTCAGGGTTAACTGGTACAGTGTAGGGAGGGGCCCTGTCAATCATTATCTGGTCAATAAATTAAAAGATTGCATTACGAACTCCTGGGCCTGTCATGATCTGCCCACGTCCCTCATATGCCGAACGTCGGGAAACAGTGGTGTTTGCTTCCATGTTAAAGCCTCATTACTGCTTTAGACATTGAACCTGGGCCTGTCCTATCAGAAGGGCTGACTCTGGACAGAGAAGTAGAGCAGAACTTGATAACTCTACACATACAACAGTAGGAATCACAGTGGGAAGAAGTGACAAGAAAAAGAGAGCATGAGATGCTTCTGATATGAGAGGTTCCCAGATCTCACATGCTGGGCAGAGAAACCTCCCAAACCAAAATCATCTACCTGCACACCTGCAAGATTCTACTCAACACACCCTTAAAGTTGGCTCCTATCATGAGAGCTTTCATTCGCTGGGATGATTACTGCAGCCATAAAATAGAAAAGCAGCCATGTGAAAGAAACACTCAGGCTTCTAGATTATGAAAAATATAATTATCATTCCTTAAAAACTGAGCTGAATAACCAAATGGGCACAGATGAATATTAAACTAATGAGCTGGAACATTTGGCTAAGGGGCTCTTCCAGAAGGCAGTGCAGAGATAAAGAAATTTCCAAAAGCTCCCACATCCATCTAAAGAGTTGATAAAGGAGGGAACAAAGGGAATAGATAGAAGGACATGACAAAAAAAAAAAAATCAGAGATGACTGTTGTTTAGTATTGAAGAGATATAATGAACTTGTGGATGTCTGTATATTTTATTTGTTTCCATTTATTTCAGTTTCTGAAATTTTGGTGCTCAGATCGTCTCATCTTGGGCTGGTGCAGTGTTCCTCAACCGAGGGCCATTTTGATCCCTAGGAGACATTTAGCAATGCCTGTAGACATTATTGATTTCCATGACTAGGTATCTAGTGGGTAGACAGAGGCCAGGGTTGCTATTAAACACTGCACATGCACAGGAGAGTCCCTACTGCACAGGATTATTTGGCTCAAAATGTGAATAGTGCAGAGGATCAGAAACCCTGAGCTAGCAGAGACCCCTTCAAGGTGGCTCCTACACCTCTTAGGCATAACTTCTGGAGTGCTCGTTTACTTCCTTGCTTTCCTGTTCAACATTACATCTCCTGAGTCTTCTGCCCGAGCCCTAGAACCAGCCACTTCTACAAAGATGTTTGGGTTTTTTGGTGGGATGGTCGATAGAGACAATAATCTGAGGATGCTCGTTGCTGCTGGGTTGTCATTGTTTGCAACAGAAGTTCAATATTAAAGAAAATTTCATGAGGTGGAACCCAGAACCCATATCATATTTACAAGTCATTGACCATCATGCCAAGTGGTGGAAAAGCAGGTCATCCAATTCTGCCCTGCCTTAAGCTTCTGCTCTGATCCAAAGTGGCTATGGTCTCTTTTCAGTTTTCCACAGATCTGCAAAGAAATTA